GCATTGAATCTGTAGATTCAATGCAATCCCTATCAAACTACCACTGGCATTTTTCACAGAACTAGAACAAAAAATTTCACCATTTGTATGGAAACACAAAAGACCCCGAAGAGCCAAAGCAATCTTGAGAACAAAAAACGGAGCTGGAGGAATCAGGCTCCCTGACTTCAGACAATACTACAAAGCTACAGTAATCAAGACAGTATGGTACTGGCACAAAAACAGAAAGATAGATCAATGGAACAGGATAGAAAGCCCAGAGATAAACCGACGCACATACGGTCACCTTATCTTTGATAAAGGAGGCAGGGATGTACAGTGGAGAAAGGACAGCCTCTTCAGTAAGTGGTGCCGGGAAAACTGGACAGGTACATGTAAAAGTCTGAGATTAGATCACTCCCTAACACCATGCACAAAAATGAGCGCAAAATGGATTAACGGCCTAAATGTAAGGCCAGAAACTATCAAACTCTTAGAGGAAAACATAGGCATAACACTCTATGACATAAATCACAGCAAGATCCTTTTTGACCCACCTACTAGAGAAATGGAAATAAAAATAAACAAATGGGACCTAATGAAACTTCTAAGCTTTTGCATGAAAAAGGAAACCATGAACAAGACCAAAAGACAACCCTCAGAATGGGAGAAAATATTTGCAAATGAAGCAACTGACAAAGGATTAATCTCCAAAATTTACAAGCAGCTCATGCAGCTCAATAACAAAAAATCAAACAACCCAATCCAAAAATGGGCAGAAGACCTAAATACACATTTCTCCAAAGAAGATATACAGACTGCCAACAAACACATGAAAGAATGCTCAACATCATTAATCATTAGAGAAATGTAAATCAAAACTACAATGAGATATCAACTCACACCGGTCAGAATGGCCATCATCAAAAAATCTAGAAACAATTAACACAGGAAAGGGTGTGGAGAAAAGGGAACCCTCTTGCACTGCTGGTGGGAATGTAAACTGATACAGCCACTGTGGAGAAGAGTATGGAGGTTCCTTAAAAAACTACAAATAAAAGTACCATATGACCCAGCAATCCCACTACTGGGCATATACCCTGAGAAATCCATAATTCAAAAAGAGTCATATACCAAAATGTTCATTGCAGCTCTATTTACAATAGCCCGGAGATGGAAACAACCTAAGTGCCCGTCTTCGGATGAATGTATAAAGAAGATGTGGCACATATATACAATGGAATATTACTCAGCCATAAAAAGAAATGAAATTGAGCTATTTGTAATGAGGTGTATAGACCTAGAGTCTGTCATACAGAGTGAAGTAAGTCAGAAAGAGAAAGACAAATACCATATATATGTGTTTTTGCATATGGTATTTAAGAAAAAAAAATGTCATGAAGAACCGAGGGGTAAGACAGGAATAAAGCCACAGACCTACTAGAGAACGGACTTGAGGATATGGGGAGAGGGAAGGGTGAGATGTGATAAAGCAAGAGAGAGGAATGGACATATATACACTACCAAACATAAGGGAGGTAGGTAGTAGAAAGCAGCCGCATAGCACAGGGAGATGAGCTTGGTGCTTTGTGACCGCCTGGAGGGGTGGGATAGGGAGGGTGGGAGGGAGGGAGACGCAAGAGGGAAGAGATATGGGAACATAAGTATATGTATAACTGATTCACTTAGTTATAAAGCAGAAACTAACACACCATTGTAAACCAATTATACCTCAATAAAGATGTTAAAAAAATAAATAATCTCTGAAAAAAATAGATTATGAACAAGTACCTACTGTATAGCACAGGGAACTCTTCTCAGTATTCTGTAATAACCTATATACGACAAGAATCTAAAAGAATGGATATATGTATTTGTATAAATGAATCACTTTGCAGTACACCTGAAGTTAACACAACATTGTAAATCAACTATAATCCAATATAAAATTTGAAAATATTTTAATTAAAAAAAAACATTGCACGATGTTAAAAAAAGCCAAAAAACAATCCTATAGTTGTTTATAGTTTAGTTTTATAGTTTAATTATTTTATTCTTTGTCCTCCCCCACCCCACAACTTCTATCTTAGCAGGCTTGAAAAAACTAAATCTACTTTACCACAGAGTAGTGCCTTTATAGGAAATAACCCAATGGTTTACTTCTGGTCCTGCCTCATCAGTATCAGCTGGGAATACCCTGTAATCGTGACAATTCATCAACCTCTGCTGTAAAAGCAGGAGAAAGAAGACTCATGCTATTTTTCTGTGAAAATGGTGGTTAGAAGAAGGGGTGTTGTAGGGGTGTGAGGGGAAAAGAAGAGAGAGTTAATGAAACAGAGTAAAAAAAAAAAAAAAAGAAAAAATTGTAGATGATGGAATTATGCTTATAAAAATAGGCAAAACAAAAATAAAGAAATCAAAATTCCCTTACATTATTCCCCCTCGCTTTGTCCTTATTAGCCTATACATATAAATGTACAAACCGTCACATATTAAACTGGTGTAGTTCCTTTTATACCTCTTGCTACACCCATATAAGCCTCTATACAAACACAAAATGTCATAGAGATGTATTATATATTATGCGTACTATATACGATTATATATGATGTACAAATATATATCATTCTATATTATCCATATCAAGTTATACATACACACAATTTTATTTAAATTGTATACCTATTTTAAATTTTATTTAAACTGTAAACCTATTAAATTAATAGGTTACAAACATATTGTTCTATAATTTGACTTCCTTCACTCACACGATTTTTTATGGGCATTATTAACGCTAGAACCCACAAAATAATGTCATTCTTTTTTTAAACACAAGCTGCATAGTATGAATGTACTACAATTTAATCAATTCATTCCCAACGAGGCATGAGGACAAAATGCTCCAATAAGCATTGCTGCACATTTTCTGGTTATTTTTTGTAGGTAAAGTTCTAGAAGTGCTCGGTCGGAGGGTAATGTGCACAAAATTGTGACAAGTATGAAAGCATAACCAGAACAGCCAAGACGTGGAGATTCCTGAGGTGGGTTAGGGAGAACAGAGGACGACATGCAACAGCCTCCAGGCTACCTGGATTCCACGATTAGGTGAAAGGTAATGTCATCAGACAGCAAAAAGAAGTTAATGACCAAGGCCAGAGCTGGGGGAGCTGGAGAGCCCTTATGTGGTGAGGAAACACGAAAATCAAGAACGAACCCCAGGAAACACCAGCACCAGGAGCCAGAGGACAAAGGAGCAGGCAGAGGGGTAAGAGGTTGAACAGGGGTCAAGTGTCACAGAAACCAAAAAAGGAAAGGGCTTCAAGGAGAGAGACCCACAGTGTCAAACGATACAGTGGGATCAGCGAAGAGTAAATAAAGTGCTCATGAGATCTGTGCGCAGGGTGGGCGGGGCGGGGGGAATCATCAAATCACTTAGGTAAGAAAAGTTCTAATGACAAAGGTAGGAAACAAAAGTTACAATGAAGTAGGCTGAGAAAAAAAAGGGAATCAATAACATTAAGAACACCTGCCCTGGGACTTCCCTGGTGGTGCAGTGGTTAATACTCCACGCTCCCAATGCAGGGGACCCAGGTTCAATACCTGGTCCAGGAACTAGATCCCACATGCATGCCACAACTAAGAGCCCCTTGAGCCACAAATAAGGAGCCCACCTGCCGCAACCAATTAAATAAATAAATAAATATTTTTTAAAAAAAAGAAGAAGAAGAAGAACACCTGCCCTTTCAAGAAGCTTAGCTGTGAAGGAAAGGAGAGGGAGTGGGGAGGCAGAGAGCTGAAGCCCAGGAGTTGGGATGTGCCTGCTGTCTGCAGGGACTGACCTGAGCGCAGATATACACCGAGAGGCAGGGGCGGGGGAGAAAGGCGGAGGAGCTCAGGCAAGAGGGCAGGAGGGAAAGAGTGCTTAGATGGGGGTCAGGACACAGACAAAAATGCAGCGAGTTCAGACATCCAATCGCAAGTTCACAGCATCCAATCCTGAGTTCACAGCATCCAAACCCAAATTCACAGCAGCCGGTTCCATAATTGCTCACAGGGTTAAATGCACAGCTGACTGAGAACGAGGTGGGGAGCTAGAGCCGTGCTCTTCAAACTGTTCACAGGCGCCACCTGGGCATCCTGCTGTGGGCACATTCTGACTCAAGGACTGAACCGCTCACATGCCGGCAGGGGACGCAGAAGCCGGGAGGAGGACCACACTCTGAGTCACAAGGACCCACAGGGACCGAGAGTACGGCGCCGCTCTAGACCGACCACAGACAAACGGGAAGCCCTACCTGCTTGAAAAAGTTGGGCCTTGCCAAGGAATCATCTTTGGCAGAGAAAGAAATAAAAGTTTCTGGCTGTTTGCCTGAGCATTTGTTTCTGCCCCGGAATAGCTGGTTAGCTTCTCACCAGCTGCCAGGTAGCCAGACTGGTTTCCAGCTGGGGCTGCTCCAGAGGATGAGGGCCTGAGGGGCAGCTCCCCTGCTCAGAGGATCCGGGCTTCACTCCACCTCGTCCTTTACACCTTAGAGTTGCAAGAGGAGAACTCTGAAGTCCCCTGCAGGTGCGCTACTGCTACAACCAGGGACCTGAGGGGTAAATGTCTTCCCGTCTTACTGCAAAGGACAGACGTGGTCAGTGAGGAGATGCAGGAGTAGAGTTAACGTCTGGCCACCAGCAAAAAGCCTGACAACTTGTGGACTTCATACAAAAAGTCTTCATTTGAAGTTGTATTGACGGAATGTCCTTGGGCTCCCCTGGTGGTGCAGTGGTTAAGAATCCGCCTGCCAATGCAGGGGACACGGGTTTGAGCCCTGGTCCGGGAAGATCCCACATGCCACGGAGCAACTAAGCCCATGTGCCACAAGTACTGAGCCTGCGCTCTAGAGCCCGAGAGCCACTACTGAGCCCACATGCCACAACTACTGAAGCCCATGCTCCGCAACAAGAGAAGCCACCACAATGAGAAGCCCGCATACCGCAACGAAGAGTAGCCCCCGCTCTCCGTAACTAGAGAAAGCCCGCGTGAAGCAACGAAGACCCAATGCAGCCAAAAAAAAGTCCTTAAGGCTGATATTAAAACCATTATCACATTCTATTACTTGAGACTTAGAAATTTTCAGTTTTTTGAGTCAAATCAACTTACTAGTATTTCCTCCAAAATACCCTGAGTTTCACTAGAGTAGTTTTATAGACTTTTTAAAAAATATTCATTTATTTATTTGGCTATGCCGGGTCTTAGTTGCGGCATGTGGGATCTTCGTTGCCACGTGTGGGATCTTCGCTGCGGCATGCAGGATCTTTTGGTTGTGGGATCTAGTTCCCTGACCAGGGATCGAACCCAGGCCCCCTGCATTGGGACCGTGGAGTCTTAACCACTGGACCGCCAGGGAAGTCCCTAGAGTAATTTTAAACAAAATAATTCATGCCCTAGATCAGAGGTCAGCAAACTTTTCCTTAAAGGTCCAAGAAAGTATTTTCAGCTTTGTGGGCCCCCTCTGTTACAGCCACTCAGCTCTGCTGCTGTAGAGCCCTGAGAAGCCACGGACAATACGGAAACAAATGGGCATGGCTATGTCCTAATAAAAAGGCATTTACAAAATCAGGGGGTCAGCCAGCCCTGCTCTAAATCAAACTGTGAATCACAACTAGATTTAATTCCAGTAGTTAAGGAAAATACCTAATAAAATCTGAAGTTTAATATAGTATGGAACTGCCTACCACAGTTTTTAAAACATCGTTTTCTAAAATCAGAATAAAACTACAAAACTAAAATATTCTCTGAACTACAAACCATATAGAATGTTTCTAATTTACATAAAATGGAGAAACAGCGCCTAAAAAAGGCACTATTCAGTTTAGAAAGGGTAATTCAAGCCCTTAGAATCGTGGTGAACAGTGTAGGCTCCGAAGTCAGCCAGACCTGGGTCCAAATTCTGGCCCCAGCCGTGGAGTTAGGGCCTCAAATTTCCTTGACGTTAATAGTATCCACCTATTTGGCTGCTGTGCCAGGCACAGAGTACGCCCCAAATAAGTGCTGGCTAAACAGTGAACCCCAATTTCCCAAGTCTCGTCAGTAGCAGTTTTTTAGTCAATGGCTGAACATATTCATCTAGTCAGTAAAAGAATTTTAGGATTTTTTTTAAAAATCTGATTTTTCTCTTATACCTTCTATAGGTGCCTCGGGCAGAAATGCTGAGGTGCAAAACTTGGCAGGTGCAAGACAGGGAGGAAATACAAGGAGAAGGTGCAATATGCAATGGAAATCAGAGGAAAGAGTTGTTTTGTAGAATTCTGTTTAGATGAAACTGCTGCTACAAATCTCACCCCTGTCAAAGCGTAACCGGGGGACTGGAAGGGTCAGAAAACTAGGGGCAGCAGTGATCTGCGGGGAGGGAGACCTTATGTTTTCATCTCCTTCTGCAGTATTTCAGTCTTCACTAAGAACCAACCTAAGGATCTCGGGTGTCTACGCACCAGATGGTAGTAGCCACTCACACCCCAGCGTGACAATCAAAAATGTCTCCACACATTGCCAAGTGTCCCCCCGGGGAGGGGGAAGCCAGATCACCTCCATTTGAGAAGCCTTACTCCAGGGCCTGGCAAGTAGAGTTCTAGCCTCTAAGAAAAAGTTCTTTTGAACCAAGTCATGTATTACACCCTCCAGAGTTGGAGATTTGACTAGAACAAGCATGTTCTGTTTTACAGGATGGTTTGGGCATCTGAAATGAGATCTGCATTAGAAAATTTAGAAATAGTTGCAGTTTGATGGTTTTCCTTTGCTGAATCCCCCACAATGGTTTCTCAACTGAGGTCCCTGCCATAGTGGAAAGTACTGGACCGGGTGTCGGGAGTGTGGCCTGGGGTCCTCGATCCAGTCAGTCAGATGCTGCGTCAGCAGCCACAGCCTTGGATTCACACGCCTCAGCCGTGAGACAAGAAGCCTGGTTGGCCTCTAACTTCATCTTCCAGCTCAAAAAATATGATTCTCCCGGGAGCTCCATCCTAAGGCCTGGCTTCCTTTATCCCCTCTGACCAGGGTACCGGGCACCTCCCAACACTCGGCGCTCTGTGCCTATTCTTCCAAATAAAGGACACCAACCCGTCCAACACCAATGCCGTAACGCTGTGAGCTGTTAAGATCATCTAATATCCAAATACGAAGTGTTTAAATAGTGATATTATTAAATGAAAGCCCACCTCTTCCATGTACTGGTGTATTATAGCTTTTACAGCGGGCATGTTGGTGGCATCCATCATCAGGGTGACTGCTTGCCCTTTTCGTATCTTCACCACCCCTTTGAATACCTGCTGATTATTATAACAGGCGGCCAAAGTGGCGATGGCCATGACCTACAGATAAGGAGAGAGAGAGGAAACACTAATTCATCTCATTTCATGAAAAGAAGTGAGAAACTGCACGGTAAGCAATCATCATGAGAAGGGAAGAGAACCTTCGGTAGAAAGTGCCGAAGGGCTAAGATGCAACTAACCAAGAGAAAAGACCCATAAAGAAAGCAAGTCAAGACCTCTCCCTTTCCCATGTTTCCCTTTCTCAGCAAAACACAGAATCAAGTGCCCTTTGCAGTCTTGAATAATTCTATAGTTTAGTCACGATATTTCCTTTTTATTCGGAAAAAACAAACACAAGCCAATGTAACATTTTCCATGCTGGGGCAATGGGTTATTAGATCTGAAAAATAGATATTCCCAAATAATATCTGGAAAGGTTTTTCTATTTTGTTTTTTCTCCCCATTTTTCCTGCAATGAACATAATCATTATACATTAAAAAAAAAAGTAGCATGAGGGTGGCAAAGGACAAAAGAAAGGGGGCCGTGTAGTTTCCCATGCTCAAAGGTAAATTATTTCTAGGATAGATGGAAACATAAGTCTGGCATAAAGAGTTTAGTTCCATCAACTGGTCAGATTGGTCATTAGAACAAGATGAAACCATGCTTCCAAATCAGTTAAATCTTATAACTTTCTTCATTTTATTTGAGTTAAAAACGGAAATAACTGGTAAAGGCATTTAAAAAGTATAAGCTCCTAGGTCCACAGGACCAGGTTCTGTTATCCCAAGATCTGGGAAAGGAGAGCCAAAATTAGGTGCTTAAATAAGACTTCTTAGTAACAGCTTCACCTGTGTTTCACCCAGCACTCCTCATAAATCTGACTCAAAGCCCTAGATTTAATTGTGAGGATAAACATCAAACTAGCTCGTTTAGAAAAAAGGGTTCTAGAAGGTTCCGGAAAGAAGCAGGCTTAACCTCAAGGCTGACCTGAGTGTGATGGCCATGGGGCAGAGGGGAGGTGTTGTGAACGTGCCTGCCCCTGGCAGAAGAAAATACACTAGAGTCATTTTTTTGAGGAATCACATTCCGGAATACACAGGCCAAAACAGTACACGCATTCCAGGCATGCCATCCCCAGCACACCACCCCGACCCCTCGGCCTCCCCGATCCACACCTGTGGAATAGCACAGAAGTTGAATATGCTCTGGTTTCTGAGTCGTGAAAGGTAAGTGATGACGTCAGGGATGTGGTGCAGCGTGCTGGCTATGAGCTCATTCAGGCACTGCACGGCCAAGTCCATGTTCTCTGGCTTGGCAAAGTCACCCAGCTTGTTCACATACTTGCTCCAAGCCTAGGCAGATAAGAAGATCGAAAGACGAGTCAGCACACGCACAGGGGAACAGCGTACAAGTCACATGAAAGGATCTTTGTGTATAAGAACTATGATATACAAAGCCTTTCTCAGCTGCTGCCTCATCTTTCACCAAGACCAAGTCCGTTTTAACCTCTATGCAATGTCTATTATGACTACAATCAAGAGTCAGTTAAGTATTTGGGAAAGTGTCCCTTTGGGACAATTAGTGCAGCATGTACTAAGCAATACTTTGATGACCTCAGGCCAAAGAGGCCTCCTGTTATGTGCAAGGCATTGGTCTGTTCCTGAAAAGATAACCAGCTTTAACAAAATCAGCTACAACAGCACTACAAGCTAAACACTAAACATTCTCAAGATGGCCAAGGCGTCAAAATAATTAATGATTAACATTACACTCCCAGTTCTGACAAGAACACTGCTGAACAAGTGTATCTGGGGAAATGAGCTGAGTCTCTACTGTAAGAACATTACCTCCTTGACCTTAGTGACCTGAAAATGAAATAACAGCCTCAACTCCAACAACAGAATTGGTTTGATGATCTTTAATAGTATTTAGAGGATTCTCTGAAGCTAGCAAATAATTTACTTTTATCCTTGGGTATTCTTAAGCTTCCTAAAGAATAACGCTTATTGTGACTTTATACACTCCCCAAAATAAATGACTAGGCCTAAAAGGACTAAGAGATTCTATGGTAAGTCACATTTGCTATCCATTCTTAATTTGCACCTAAACCCACTCAGATTGCTGGTACTAGACTGTCCTGCAGAACCTGGAGAAAAACGCTAATGGGCGCCTACATATCCATCCACCAGCTTCAACAGTTACTGACACTTGGCCAATCTTGTTCCAGCTATACGTCCCCAGACCCAAAATTATTTTAAATTAAAGCCCTAATATATCATTTTATCCATAAATACTTCATTATGAATATCTAAAACACTAGGAACCTTTCTTGTACATATATCTTATCACAACTAAAAGTTAACGATAAATATTTAATACAAATTATCCAATTAGCAGTCGTATTATCCCACTAATTTTTTTTCCACTTGGTTTCTTCCAGTAAGTACCTAAACAAAATGCATATGTTGCATCTGGTTGATGTCACATAGGTCCCGCTGCTCAGTTTTTATTTCACCCCTCAAGGTGGGCCCAATCCTGGAAAAGAATCCTGACTGGTCTGTGTCCACGTCCAGTTCAAGGGGGCCAATGCATTCCAGCTCCTCCAGGCTTCTCCATGGCCCCCGTGGACTCGCCCACAGCCAGAGAAGGAACACCCATTCCTGTTTCACCTGCTCTTCTCAAATGGGTCCATCCCACTGTCCACTCCCGCTCTCGGGTCTGAGACACCTGTAGCACCTTGGCTTTGTCCTGCACAGGTTTTGCAGGGTTTGTTTTCGGAGCTGCTGTTTTGTCTGCACCCATCTGTGTTCTGGAGTTCCTGGGGATGCTTTGTCACTTGTGCTTCTGGACATGCTATCCATTGTTTTGGATACATCTGTTTCAGTTTTTTGGCTGAGTTTTTGTCACCTTCTTTTTTTTTTTTTTTTTTTTGGGTGAGAATCTGGGAAAATCCAAACACTATGATGCTACCATCATCACAGTTTTGCAAAATCCAAAATTCCAGCTAATAAATGCAGAAAGGATGACAGAATTAAGATAGCACCATTTAGCATCTCCATTGATAATGGATCTAGGCAGTGACCACCAAGGAGGAGAAAAAGAACCCATAACGTATACGGAGAAGAAAAGTTAAGTTATCATTAGATTTTCAACAGCCAGTCCTAAAGCGGGAGAATATGGAGTAACACGTTTAAGAAACTCGAAAATGTGAGCTAAAAACTTTATATCCAGAAAAAGTGACCCTGAAGTATAAAGGACAAACTATTACCAACATGTATAAACATAGGGAAGTATCGTTCTTTGTTTTCTTCAAAATTCATAAATATTAACGGACTTCCCTGGTGGTGCAGTGGTTAAGAATCCACCTGCCAATGCAGGGGACATGGGTTCAAGCCGTGGTCCGAGAAGATCCCACATGCCACGGAGCAACTAAGCCCGTGTGCCACAACTACTGAGCCTGCGCTCTAGAGCCCGTGAGCCACAACTTTCTCTAGTTGCAATGAGTAGAGGCTACTCTTCATTATGGTGTGTGGGCTTCTCATTGCGGTGGCTTCTCTTGTTGTGGAGCACAGGCTTTAGGCGCACAGGCTTCAGTAGTTGTGGCACGTGGGCTCTAGAGCGCAGGCTCAGTAGTTGTGGTGCACGGGCTTAGTTGCTCTGCAGCACGTGGGATCTTCCCAGACCAGGGCTCAAACCCGTGTCCCCTGCGTTGGCAGGTGGATTCTTAACCACTGCGCCACCAGGGAAGTCCAGTCTTAATGGCTATCTGATCTGACAATTTACATATAAATACAATATAAAAATAGGGAATTAGCTAGCATATGCGAAAACATTTTCAACTGTGTTCAGTAGTCATACTTGGTAGCAGTAGCACTACAGTCACTATTCAGAGACTGTGGTAATGTGTAATTACATCTGTAATGTGGGAAAAAAGCAAATGAGTCATTATGGGATATACTAATTCTATCATCTCTTATTTTCCTTGAGAAATACGACTGTGGATGAGGAAGAGGTAGAGATGTAATACAGAAGAGACTATGTAACAGTCCTGAGTTTGAATTGGAAATATCAATATAAACTACAAGGTAAATACTTTAGATTTAAAACTAAATATATACGACAACTACTCCGAGAGCAATGACCACCCCGAGTGCCCAAGTGTGGTCTGGAGGCACCATTTCCCATTAACAGAAAGCTTAGGCTTCCTGAAGAGCTGCGTGAGTCCAAATCCCAGTCAAAAAACGTACAAAATGAGCTTGGAACATCTTGACATACCACCAAATGGCACGGCAGCTATCAAAAACTATTAGGGTCCCATCAAGGGGACTGAGGAGCCACTTGAACCTCTTTCTACAATACAACTCTTAGTAGATGGAGCTAGAATTTTCTAAGAGAAACGATATCATGAGTTCATACTGATATTTCCAATCCAGTTTAGGATCACTGGAGTTTTTGCTTAAGTGTTTTCTATCTTTGCAACTTTTATTTTAGACTGAAAATCTTGCTTCCTATGAACAAAATTACCTATTTTCTTTAAGCTGTAAAGTTTCTATAATAGTTTCAATATTATTATTCACAATATAATTACTGAAAACTTTATTCCTTTCTGGTTTATCCTTCCATTGGAACTACACATACTGTTACGCATCTTGCTTTTTTCACTTAGTAATATAACCTGGAGCTCACTCCACAGTAGGCTCGCTCTTTTGGTGCTCCACTGCATGGATAGACCATAGTTCATTCCCTCCGTCCCGTACGGACAGACATCTGAGTCGTTTATAAACGTAACTATTACAAACAGTGGCTGCGGTCAGTAACCTCCCACAGCCATCACTGGCCAAGCTTGCGCTCACCACCCGCACGGGAGCACCCATTTCCCCAGCATGGCTTACGGCTTATCAAACTTCCGACATTTTGCCAATCTGATGCAGGAAATGGTATCTCACGACTGTTTTTTGTGGTCGTTAAGCTGCTTGAACTGACGTTTACTAAGCACTCTGCTAGTTGTTTTTCTCATTTTATTCGCACCACTGCCTGGCGTATAAACTATTCTATTTCACAGAAGAGTGGGCAGTGAGGCACCTGCAGGGATGCAGAGCCTCGTCTGAAAGGCGGTGTGGTTTCCTGGACAGGCACCGGGCTGAGACCCAGGAGACAGAAGCTCCCCTTCTGGGAGTCCTGAGACAAGCCCCTTCCCTTCTCTGAGCCTTGGTGTCAAAGGAGAGGTTGTCAAGAGCTGTTTCTCGACCTCGCTGCACACCACAGTCACCTGGGAGGCTTGAAAACCTATGATGTCTGAGGTCAGGGGAGGTTTAATGTGAATTTCACCTATCAGGAGTAAGGCTGATCACCTTCCCAGATATTTAAGGATCATTTCCATCTTTCTTTCTGTGAACTACCTGTTCTTATCCCTTTACCCATTTCTTCTGTGCAGTTGGTCTTTTACTTAACTTTTGGCAGTTCTTTTAATATTAGGAATATTAACTCTTTACCTGCAGTATAAATTCCAAATATCTTTTCCACCTTCTCACCTGCCTTTTTTCACCTTAAAAGCGCTTGGTTCTAGGAAACCGTTTTTTTTTATCTTTATTTTTTTTAAAAAATTAATTAATTTATTTATTTTTGGCTGCATTGGGTCTTCATTGCTGTGCGTGGGCTTTCTCTAGTTGCAGAGAGCGGGGGCTACTCTTGGTTGTGGTGCGTGGGCTTCTCATTGCAGTGGCTTCTCTTGTTGAGGAGCACGGGCTCTAGAGCGCAGGCTCAGTAGTTGTGGCGCACGGGCTTAGTTGCTCCGCGGCATGTGGGATCTTCCCGGACCAGGGCTCAAACCCGTGTCCCCTGCACTGGCAGGCGGATTCTTAACCACTGCGCCACCAGGGAAGTCCCTAGGATACCATTTGATGGATTAAAACAAAAGGTAAATGCTGGAGTAAAATCAGGAGATAGTCATAAGATTTCCTAGCTTTCCTTCTGAATAAAATCAATGTCAAAGCCCTTCCTTTTCCTGTCCATTTTAAATTAAGTCAAAGATCCACTCTTGTCTCTGATAATGAACATCTGTAGTGGGTGCCCGTCTGGTGCCCCTTCTTGCCACCGAGTCCTTCTTTCTTGGAGGAAATCCATTCTACACGTGTGGGCAGACATATTCCAGGTCTAGACTGAGTGCTCAACGCTCTGGCTACTGACTGATTAAGGGATGGGCATAGGAACCAAGCCTATGAGTGAGTCATGGGACGTTATACCCACCACTGGACAAAGCCTGTCCAAGAGGTAGAAAGGGGACAAAGCCTTATTACATAGTCTGAATCCCTGGATGCAGCCCGTCCCCCTGAAGCAAACTAAATCCTAACCTAGTCTACACCGTCTCCTATGCTGTCTAAGGGAGCTTGATTTGTGTTTCTGTCACTTGCAACCAAAAGGGTTTAATGTTTTGTTGTCAGAGAGCATTCAAAATTATTTCTCCCCAAATCCCCTGAACCTATTACCTCTTGAGGCCAAAACTCTCTTCCTTCTCGCTGGTCTTCCAGATAATCACGGATGATGTTTGTTTTCTGCAGAAACAGGCCCATAGCGTTGGCAAGCTCTGTGTCTTCACCAATTAAGGGATCTTCTAACTCTGAGGCCGAGAACAGACGAGAAAGGCCAATTCCCACCAGCCCAGCAACATAGTGACAGTACTGTAAAAGATGATTTTTAAAGTACTTTAATAATGAAACTTTTACTAAAACAGAAATGCTACAGATCATTAGCTATAAAAAACCAGGTTCCAAAAAGAATGTAAAAGATCTCATTTTGCTTAAAAAAAACCACATTATACACTATGTACACGTAAAGAGTAAAAAACATTCCAAGAAGGATGTGCACAAAAGACTTAACAAAAGTGATCTCTGGCTCATGTGATGTTTCTATTTTTTTTATTTTATTTTTTACTGTATTTTCTATATCTGTACAATGCACATGCACTGCTTCTAGAATAAAAGGTTATTGAAAAAATAAACTAGTAAACTTTTTGATATCCCAAATTGGGAGTGAAGGCCTTGAGGGAATAAGGAATATTCTAACAGAAACTAGAATACTAAGTAGAATTTAATCTTGAAGACATTTTAAGATCTTGCAGTGTCTCAAAATCCTCATTAAGTAAAAGAACGTAGTGGTACTACTTTGTTTTTTTACATAACAAGGATGTGTTTTATTTATTTTTAAAATATACTTTCCTAAGTTTTTCACTCATTTTTAAAAAATTTTTTTAATTTATTTATTTAGGCTGTGCTGGGTCTTAGTTGCAACACTCGGGATCTTCAGTTGTGGCATGCAAGATCTTTGGTTGAGGCATGCAGATTTCTTAGTTGTGGCACGCATGTGGGATCTAGCTCCTTACCAGAGTTCGAACCCAGGTCCCTTGCAGTGGGAGCGTGGAGTCTTACCCACTGGACCACCAGGGAAGTCCTCAGTGATGTGTTTTAAGCATGCTGCATATTCGGTCCTCACAAACATCTTCTGGGGCATTCACTAATTATCATTCACACATTCACTAATTATCACCATTGTGCAGATGCAGAAACTGAGGCACAGAGACGTCACTTAACTTGCACAAGATCACTCATCTGGCGCGTCAGAGGCCAGGGATTCTCAGCCAAGCCATATGGCTTCAGAGGCAGGGTTGAACAACTTTGCTAAAACTCTGCCTTTCTCTCAAATGAAGTCTGAGTGAATGTGAATCTTAATTGTCAAAGAAGTTTTTTTCTGTCCAAATGGTTTGTCAAAGCTGTCCTCCCCGGAGAGGAGTATTCCAAGACAACTCAATGGAATACTCTTTGTTTTTAAATTGAAATATAGTTGATTTACAATATTGTATTACTTAAAGCAATACGTTTATAAAATGAATGTCCACTAGACAACTTAAGAAGTGAAGAGGAGTTAAAGAAGGTACCCTCTGCCGCAGAGTTAGGGGAAGACCAGAGTAGAGTGTCTCTGGTTTAAAGTAATACAGGGCTTCCCTGGTGGTGCAGTGGTTAAGAATCCGCCTTCCAATGCAGGGGACAAGGGTTCGAGCCCTGGTCTGGGAAGATCCACACGCCACGGAGCAACTAAGCCCATGTGCCACAACCACTGAGCCCGCGTGCTATGGCTACTGAAGCCCGCACGCCTAGAGCCCGTGCTCTGCAACAAGAGAAGCCACCGCAATGAGAAGCCCGCGCACCACAATGAAGAGTAGCCCCCGCTCGCCGCAACTAGAGAAAGCCCGTACGCAGCAACGATGACCCAACGCAGCCAAAAATTAATTAATTTTTTTAAAAAAAGAAAGTAATACAAAGTCACAGACTAATCAAGGGGTACGATGAAATGGTAGAAAAAGCACTTGAAATATGTTCCAGGAGAGGAAGGATCTGTAAAGAGTAAAGATATGCTGAAATCAGAGAGAAAGCAGCTGTGGACAACTACAAGAAATTTTTAAAAGACTTACTAGAAATTAATAAAAAACATTACATATTACATTACAACATCCATATTGCTGTCCAAGGAAAAGTATATTTTATGTTAAGATAACAGTTCTTTGGGTAGAAATACTAGAATGGAGGTATTCATTTTCCTCTAAAGTTGAAGGAAAAGAAAAATATTTACAAGTATTCAGTTTTATCTGATCAGAACTTCTACTCAACAGCCTATAATTAAGTTTCCTGAATAGATCTGCATGGCAGAAAAGGAAGTTACTGTGCTGATAGCCAGCGCTGGTCCGTGGCCAGGAGTTTCAGCTTTAACTTTAAATTCATAAACTGATATTCTAGCAGCAGCCACACTCACACTAACTTGTGGAGCACAAACCACCAGTTCCAAAGATGCTGTCATCAAGTTCTGAGTCGTGAAAAATGAGGAGGCCAGACCTTGGACCTACACTCACTCGATGAATATGCAGCAGCATCTCTTTTGGGATCCTAACCTAAACACTATTAGAGACACAAAATAGGTACGCAGTTTAGACGTTTAAAATGTCTCTGCTTCCATCGAGGTGATGAGTAAGTCTCACAGAGGCCATTCCTATGGGAAATGGGCAAGACCCCCTCCCCTCCTATCTTGTATTTTGAGTCAAGTTTAGTCCCCGTAGTCAATTACGTCACTTTGTCCACAGAAGCAAGCTCTCCCCGACCCCTGGCCAACATCCTTCACAGCTGCTGGTCAGGGATAACCTGTGGCCACATGAAAGCCGGTATAATGGTATCCGCCACATCACCTGCTCTCACAGCCCTTTCCAGCTGCTCTGTCCCTCGAGGAAGACAACCTGGGCCCCCCAGGGGCTCCTTCGTGTACCTCCACGTATGTGCATCTACAAGCACCATAAAAAGAGGTAGGTGGACATCAAGAAACCTGGAACCTCTCGCATCATCTTATTTCTATGAAAAGATGATGGGGAAGGAGGAGTGGGTATTAGAAAGGCACTCACTCCTCAGCGTAATGCAACTATGATCCAAGTTAGTTCCTCGGGATCCTCGTGAACCGTTTCGTTTCTGAGGAAACAGACACAGAATACAATTTAACAGTCTGATACCTACTCCTAAGTAAATGGGGCCAAGGTGGCCCTGAATTTAAAAGTAAGCTCGTGGGGACTCCCTGGTGGTCCAGTGGCTAAGACTCTGCACTCCCAATGCAAGGGGCTTGAGCTCAATCCCTGGTTGAGGAACTAGATCCCGCATGCCACAACTAAAGACCCAGCATGCCGCAAGTAAGACCCAGCACAGCCTAAATAAAGAAATGTTAAAAACGAAAACAGGGGCTTCCCTGGTGGCGCGGTGGTTGAGAGTTCGCCTGCCGATGCAGGGGACACGGGTTCGTGCCCCGGTCCTGGAAGATCCCACATGCCGCGGAGCAGCTAGGCCCGTGAGCCATGGCCGCTGAGCCTGCGCGTCCGGAGCCTGTGTTCCGCGACGGGAGAGGCCACAACAGTGAGAGGCCCGCGTACCGCAAAAAAAAAAAAAAAAAAAAAAAAAAAAACCAAAAGAAACCCAAATTTCATTTAAAAAAAAAAGTAAGCTTGTGTTATGAAGGAACTGGAAATGACTCAGAAACACACACGCGTGCTCAGTAAAGGAAAAAAACATAGAAGACACATTTTAAGATGTGAAAACTATTGATGTCTCTATATTACATGCAATAATTTGGTCATTAACCTCAAATTTCACAGCAAGTCTGAGACACTTTCATCAGCTTAATGTTTGCACCTCTGGGACGAGTTATATCTGCTTTGGCCTAACTCAGTGGTCCCCAACCTATTTGGCACCAGGGACCAGTTTCGTGGAAGACAGTTTTTCCACGGACAGAGTGGGGGTGTGGGGGATGGCTAATGCGAGCGACAGGGAGCGGCAGATGAAGCTTCGCTCGCTCGCCCACCGCGCACCTCCTGCTGTGCGGCCCGGTTCCTAACGGCCTGTGGACCTGTACCGGTCCACGGCCCAGGGGTTGGGGACCCCTGGCCTAACTTGACGATAAACTCCCCAGAGCAACGATTATTCCAGGTATGATGACACGTAAGCCCCGATTAAGTGTTTATGTGGAGACATTACAGCTGGGCTGTGAAACCACCCCTTGTCCCTCGGCCCGAATGTCATGGTGAGCACTGCCAGTTCATCAGTGCCACTCACACCGACAACGCTCCACAGGGACACTAACCTTGTCCCACTCCCGTTCAGACATCACACGCTTGTCCAAAAACTCTGCCATCCCAAATCCCATCTTCCGGCAAATGTCAACAATCACTGTTTGGTATTTCTCAGCCAGATTTCGAAACTCCAGGGAGATCTGAAATGGAGGTCATAAAAAAACAGAAAATATGAAATACGTATTAAAACTGGGAACCAACAGGGTACCTACAGATCATAAAGCAAAGCAACAACAGAACGCATTAGGGAAGACTCCCAAACGATCCAGCTATAAGTCTAACATCTAGGTTATGCTAGCTTTCTACATATAGAATAAGTTCGGCAAATTTCATAAATATTAAAATAGAAGGGTACAGAAATGCTAAAGTTTCTAGACTCAAAAGAAGATTCAGCGAATTCCCTGGCGGTCCAGGGGTTAGGACTCTGAGCTCTCACTGCTGAGGGCCCGGGTTCTACCCCTGGTCAGGGAACTAAGATCCCTCAAGCCTCGGGGCAAGGCCCCCCCTCCCAAAAAAAAAAAAAGAAGATTCATAGTCTTATTATACGCTCATCTTCCCACCTAATGAGCAATGAGATAATTCAACATAAAACTGGACATACGTGTAAGAATTTTAGGAAGAATGCCTCATTTTCAGACAAGCCTCATGATAATGAAGATTCATTTGTGCAAACATGTCTTGGCCACTTCCTATGCAACAAGCACTGTTGTGGGCACTGGGAATGCACAGCCGGGAGATGACCAGAAACTCCGCCTCCAGAGCTTATGTTCTAGCAAGGAGACCAGCCAACCACTGTCTATCCTCAGTTCCCGCATTCATACCATGAAGCTACAGTGTCTCCCTACTATAAGGCTACACTTTCTAATTCCTTAAACAACTCAGTTTAGTTCAATCTGCAGCAGGCTATCCAACATTTATTTTTCATAGCCCAAGCTTTAATGTCGAAAAGTACTATTGATGTTCTTAAAAGTCACTGCTACTGTACAAGTATCTTGCTTAAGTTCAAAGAAGTGTCTGTAGGTTATCAAAATAGAATATACAGGGTTGGGCAAAAAGTTCGTTCGGGTTTTCATCCCATCTTACAGAAAAACCAGAACGAACTTTTTAGCCAACCCAATAAAACACCGTGAAACTTCTCAAATAACATGCTATCAACACACAATACTGAAAACAGTGAATAGACTTTGCTAAGCTTCCGAAGTGTGAGAAATACCTGGTCTATGTTTACAGAAAGGTTAGAAAAACTCCCTCAAGGAATACCTAAATTTAAGGACCTGAGAGAAACCTGGAGGGTTGCAGGGCACTGAAGGGGTTCAGAAGCCTAAGATCCTTTAGGATTATTCTGATGAACATAAACTGTTAAACCCCCAAATTCCATAAAACCAAACTGATCTCTCTAGAACTCTTCTCTACAGAACAGCTGTTCCAAGACAGAGCCAAAAGGTAATTCCCACGTGGACTGAAGCAAACGAACAGCTCTACCAAAGGTCATTTGAATCCCTGAATCTCCCAAGGACCTGGTCTTTCAACAGATCCCAGGCTGGGTCAGTTCTATTTATAAGAGGGGAAAGGCCAGCGAGCTGGGGGAGGAGCAGCTTAGGCTTGAAAACAAAGGCTCCAAAATAAACACTTCACTGCTGGATGTGAACCAACTTCAACTCCTTGGTACTTACTACATCATTATATAATTCAAAACATGAAAACAAAAATATCTAGGGAGGAGTGACCATGAAGAGCTCTACGTTTTCCCAGAAACCTGAGGGAGGGTGGGGAGGGAGGGGCCCGACTCCCCCAGGCAGCTCTGCCCGCGAGGTCAGCCAGGAGGGGCTTTTCCTTGTCCCTCCAGGGAATTCTGTTTCCCAGCTACAGTACACTTCTAGGTCCCGGGGTCACTCTCCAGTGATTCCAAGTACGAGAAGGAAGGACACCACGGGGAGTCCACTGGTACAATGGAGAAAGGCCAGCCCCGAAGCAGGGGCAAGGGGAGCATGTACACAGAAATCTCCCTGATTATAAACCTTGGGGTGTTATGATCAAAACACTGGGTGGGGCTTCCCTGGTGGCACAGTGGCCAGTGCAGGGGACACGGGTTAGAGCCCTGGTCCGGGAAGATCCCACATGCCACAGAGCAACTAAGCCTGTGCACCACAACTACTGAGCCTGCGCTCCAGAGCCCACAAGTCACAACTACTGAAGCCCGTGTGCCTAGAGCCCATGCTCCTCAACAAGAGAAGCCACCGCAATGAGAAGCCCGCGCACCGCAACAGAGAGTAGCCCCTGCTCGCCACAACTAGAGAAAGCCCACGCACAGCAATGAAGACCCAACGCAGCCAGAAGTAAATAAATAAATTTACTTATTTATTTAAAAAAAAATTTTTTTTTAAATGGTTTCCTAGAACCAAGTGCTTTTAAGGTGAAAAAAGGCAGGTGAAAAGGTGGAAAAAATATTTGGAATTTACACTGCAGATAAAGAATTAATATTCCTAATACTAAAAGAACTGCCACTAAGCCCATGTGCCACAACTACTGAGCCTGCGCTCTAGAGCCTGCAAGCCACAACTACTGAAGTCCGTGTGCCTAGAGCCTGTGCTCCACAACAAGAGAAGCCACCGCAGTGAGAAGCCCGCGCACAGCAACAAAGAGTAGTCCCTGCTCGCCACAACTAGAGAAAGCCCGCGCACAGCAATGAAGAGCCAACACAGCCAAAGAAAAAAAAAAAAACAAAACACCAAAACACTGGGTGATGCTACCTTCACCTATATGCAAAGTTTTATTTTTAACCATTTTTTAAAGGGGCAGTAGAGTGTGCCAGGGATTAAGCACAAGGGTTCTGGATGTAGGCCTTTTGTGTTTGAATCCTGGTTCTGCCACTTAACTTCACAGGTGATTTGAGGCAAGGGGCTTAAATCTCTATGTCTCAGTTTCCTTATCTATACACACGTGGTTAACAGTGTATCACATCCATTACATGTTAAAACTATATTAATATTAAATAAAGCAAATGATAAACCAATAATGAAATACATTTCGTAACTCATAGCTCAATAAATGTACGCTATTATTGCCATTATCATTTAAAAGTAGCCATTTCTTATTTCTCAAGCTGTGTTTGGAGGTAGATCTCTAAGACTACCAGTCTCCACTAGTACCAGGTGAAAAAGATGTACTCTAATTTAACCCATAATATACAATGAGTGTTCTAGAAAGCTTGGTATCAACTAATGAGCACTGAAACCTTATTACAGCCCCAGGTCCCATGTCAATGCTGACCAGAGGAAGGCTTCAGCCGCTTCACTCGGTTAGAAGGCCCCGTGGAGGCTCAGCCCCACCTTCCACCGGGCCTGGGGCAAGAGCACAACGGTGGCCACACGCCATATGGCTCAAAATCTTAAACCATCAAGCGAGCTAGTAACTTACCAAGTGCAGTATGTTCTCTTCTCCCACCCTGACAAACATACCTTCACAACCACCTGGAGGACTCGGGTGTGAATTTACAATTCTTGGCCCCTCAGGCTTCTGTTCCAAAATTAAATAGTGCAGAGACTGCCAGGAGGAGGAATCTCACACTCGTGTGTAAGGACACCCCAGACAGCAGGGTCAAGCTTCACCCACGACCCTCCTGAAGAGCCACCCTCAGGCCAAAGGTCACGGTCACTGGTGCACAGTACACCCTGGAGGAAATGGGCCCCAGGAAACGGACTGCAAGCCGGTGTGTGTGGGGGGTGTCTCAGGGAATTAGGGGCACGCAACCCCAGACCCCCAGAAGATGGTCTACAAGGGGAGGTGCACAAGCTCGGGGCAGGCACGCTCCCACGGCCCCCCTTGAGGGTGAGGTGGCCGAGAGGGGGGCCCTCTAAAGTGAGGGGCAGGGAGGGACTTCCCTGGCGGTCCAGTGGTTACGACTCTGGGCTCCCAATGCAGGGGGCACAGGTTCGAACCCTGGTTGGGGAACTAAGATCCCGCATGCCATACCGCGCGGCCAAAAAAAAAAAAAAAAAGATGGACTTAAGAAAAATAAATAAGTGAGGGGAGGGGGAAGGGCCCTTCTTGCCCCTATCTGAGAGCAGTGCTGTGTGAGGGAGGCCCTCGCCCCAAACCCACTCACTGTACAGCTAACCCTCGGCAACCGGAATTTGTGGGATCTTCTAAAGCTCAAGATTTTAATTAGAACCCACTTTACTCCAACTGAGTGGACTAAATACCCGACATTTACAGAACACTATTCTAAGTACTCTACGTGTATGAGCTCACTCAGGCCTCGCAGCTCTAACTTTACAAACGAGGAAACTGAGGCACAAGGAAGTTAAGGGGTGTGTCCAGGCTCACACAGCTGCGGGTGGCAGAGATCATCCTGCTTCAGTCCTCAGCTCGGCTGCGAAGAGCCCGCGCCCTGCCCCACAGCTGCCACCCATCATGAGCTGCAGCTGCACAGCACGCCACCAGGTTCAGGGTGCCCCAGAGGCCAGAGCGCGACCCACCTAGGCTGCGTTCTCGGGTGCACTGGCTGGAGAACCCATCTTTCACGACACTGGCACTGGAGTACTCTTTCCACAGGAAGGAAGGCTGGACTTCCCAACAACATCCTGGTAATGACAGTAGCAGCTAACACCTAAGAGCTCCACCTACGTTAACTCTTTCCATCCTCACAACCACACTGGGAGGCAGGGACCATTATTCTCTCTGTCTTACCGATGAAGAAACAGAGGCACAGGCAGGCTATGTAACGCAGCACCAGTTAATGAGTGGGAGCATGGGGCCGCCAACCCAGGCAGTCTGGCTTGAGACGCACCATTGCCACATTATGCTACACTGCCCTGACACTGCTGGTTTTGCAGTTCCCGCCAGGCACACGGGCCAGCTGACGGCCACCCCACCAATCATGCGCACGACTGCATCCCGTTAGTCCCGCTACCGTTGGAAAGTCCTCCAGGACTTGTCGGTCCTTCTCCTTGCTCTCCGTGAACCGCCAGTCGGGCTCATAAAGGTACGAGTGGAAGTTGTGTAACAGGGGGACCTTTCTTTCTATACTGATGGTCATGTCATCTTCCAGAGTGTCCAGCGCTCGGAGAACCAGATAAAATATGCATACTGCATGGCTGTAAGAAAGGAATAACTATCAATACGTTGGAACAAACGTTCAAAGATATCTGTTTTAAAATCACATCTCATTTTTGCTGGGCCATTTTCTAAACCCTCCTACACCCTTAACTCTACGGAACTATGAAAGGATATCCAAAACTTTTCGTACTTAATGCAACTTCTTGGCTTCTCTTTCTTAGGTGGGAGCAATGGACTTCTGTAGTTTATTTATAAAAATAAATAAATAAAGAACCTGCCAGCTGGACGTCACTACTCCTCCCACAATGAGTAAACATTTAACTAATGCAGCACAACTGTAGAAAGACCAGCAGACCATTTGGAAGGAACTATTATTTTGCAGATAAAATAAAGTCAAAAGACACAATAACTTCTCACTATCAATACTATCATACCTAACGGCTAAGTCATGTACATAATCTGCACAGAGGCAACTTCAGAAGAATTAACCCAATATACTAGAAATGCAAAGTAGCATAAGTGAAGCCAAGGAAAATGCATGAGCCGCTTCGAGACAGGTCCAGCTGCCAGCACTAAAAAAAGTTAATAAACATCCCCTCCCCCTCCCTGAAAGAGCTGGGCCTGCAGGGAAGCTATGAGATGGCCAGGTCCCTGGAAGGGCATTCTAAAGTAAACACAGGCGTGTTTCAACCCCGAACACTTCCTTCACCCACCGGGGCCTGTTCAGGCTACGCCACAAGCACGGCGACAGCAACGCGAGGGGCCGTGTCAAAAAGTGGCTTCGAATGGCCCGTGGCAGTTTTCTTCCCCCGGGTCACAAAGAGCTGCCTGCGCCACTCACCGCATTTCCCCATCCAGCGCCTGGATAACAGCTGCGAAACTGCGACTGGTCTGATTCAAGTACTTGTAACAAGTTTTCAAGCTGCTGCTGAGCGAGTCCTGCGGGCAGAGGAGACACACGGCGGTGGGAGACGCGGAGGGGCTGGAGTGGGGCTGGGGCGGGCGGCCGGCTACCGCGGGGCTCCGCAGCCGGCCGCACACGCCCTCTCCCCGCGGCCGGTCCTTGGAGGGCCAAGCGGCGGGGGACAGGGGGCAGCCGCGCGGGGGAGTGCCCGCGCCCCTGGGCGCCGCGCCGGGGCTCAGCACCAAGGTCCGCTTGAAAAGGGACATGGCCTTGGTGCCGCAGGCGACTGCGGCCATGGGAACCGCGAGACCAACGCCGTTTTTCCTCCATAGACCCGAGAGGAGTGGAGAGGCGCCCACCGAAGGGCGGGACCGGCTCTTGCTCCACCGCAATAGGCTTGGGGCGGCGGAGCAATGAGCTGGCGTCCGCCGCCCCGCCCGCCCACGTGCGAGCCGAGCACCGCCCCACACGCCCCGCGGCCAGCCCCGCCCACCCTGTCCAGATACGAGCCCCGCCCCGCGGCCTATGGCTCACCACTCGCGCCTTCCTCACCTTGTTCCCCTTCTCCCCAGAACCCAAAGGCTGTTGACGGAACCTGAATCTCTCCTCGGCCAAACTTTAGTCAGGCTCCTGAATCCTCCACCTTTGTACTTCTATGTTTATCTTTTGCGTCGCTCATCTTTAGCAAGAACTCTGCTAAATTGGTTTAGCCAGAATCCCTCATCCGTCATGTATGATCACCCGCACCATCTGACCCGTTCCTCTTCCCCCACCATCCCAGCGCCCTGACCTGCCTCCAGCAAGAATCCCGGTAGGTCGTTTCAGCAGAATGCCCCTTACCCCAGAGGTTTCCTCTTAGTACTTTTCCATCCACCCACACCCACACTCTGCTCCTTGTTGTATTCGGAACGGAGCCCAGTTCTATACTGAGGTCTCTTTGCTCTATTGCAATTGCTTTTCTGAATGAAATCTGATTTTACCCCTTTAACTACTGTCCAGTTCTGGTTTTCCTTTAACACCTGTTAAACCTCTATTATCCTCTGGAAAGCTAGCTATTCCTTTTAAGATTTCTAATCATCTTTCCCTTTCAAATCAGTGAGCTGTAACGATCTTTACGAACCTTATTAACTCTTCCCTAAGGAAGACAAAAACTGTTTTTCCAGAAAAAAAAAAAAAGCCATGTTCTGATATGCAAGCATATCAGAAAGAATTGCTGGCTGTTTTGTATATTTTTTTATGGAGACTTTATATTTTAGAGCAGTTTTAGGTTCAGGGAAAATTGAGTGGAAAATACAGAGTCCCCATATACCACCCCCCCAAGTCTCCCCCACTCTCTTTTTAAGAGAGAAACGGGAAACATTTGCAATATCTAACAACAGGGAGGATGGTTTAAAATAAATATATGTACACACATATACATATATGTGTATATATACATATATATATGTATGTATATGGAAATCCCATAGTCACTTGGGAATGTCAACAGTGAACCTTGGGACCTGCTGGGGTCCAGGTGAACTATCTTCTTTTCATATGTGTTTATTTCCTACCATGGATACATGTTCTTCTGTCAAGAGAATAAAGCTTTTCTTTTTAAATCACATAACCATGAGAAATTATTGCCAAGTTCAATTTAAAAAATTAGTAAAAATTAACATTTACTAAGCACCATACATTAGTAAAATCATTTCGTACATACAGTCTGGCATATAAAAATACTCAGTGAAGGTCTGATGAGTAAATGAATAAGTTCAAAGAGTATTTAAAAACAATTCACCAACTCCTTCCCTATCAAAATGTGGAGAGGCAAGACTTCACAATAAATAGAAGGAACAGAATAACAGCTCTTTTCTGAGCTCTAAGCCAGCTCTTCACATACAACTGTTGTTATCAGGCCACAATGATTCCTTTCACTGCACTGCCAAATGTTTTAATCCCTGGATACAACTAAGGGTTTGGGGGCTGATGTCAAAGGTGCATCACTCATTGGGACTTCCCTGGTGGCGCAGTGGTTAAGAATCCACCTGCTAATGCAGGGGACACAGGTTCGAGCTCTGGTCCAGGAAGATCCCACATGCCACGGAGCAGCTAAGCCCGTGCGCCACAACTACTGAGCCTGCGCTCTAGAGCCTGCAAGCCACAACTACTGCGGCCATGCACCACAACTACTGAAGCCCCCATGCCTAGAGCCCGTGCTCTGCAACAAAAGAAGCCACCGCAATGAGAAGCCCGCGCACCACAACGAAGAGCAGCCCCTGCTCGCTGCAACTGGAGAAAGCCCGCGCAAAGCAACGAAGACCCAACACAGCCAAAAATAAATATAAATAAATAAATTTATATATTAAAAAAAAAGGATCGTCGCACTCGTTCTGAAGAGCAACAATCTTGAAGGACGCCCCCTCCTTTCCAACACACCTTCTCCACTCTTCTTTTTTTAAAGCAGTCATCCTTGTCTTTTTTTTTTAATATAAATTTATTTATTTTATTTTTGGCTGCGTTGGCTCTTCGTTGCTGCTCGCAGGCTTTCACTAGTTGCGTTGAGCGGGGGCTACTCTTCGTTGCGGTGCGCGGGCTTCTTATTGCGGGGGCTTCTCTTGTTGCGGAGCACGGGCTCTAGGTGCGTGGGCTTCAGTAGTTGTGGCACGTGGACTCAGTAGTTGTGGCTCACAGGGTCCAGAGCACAGCCTCAGTAGTTGTGGCGCACGGGCTTAGTTGCTCCGCGGCATGTGGGATCTTCCCGGACCAGGGCTTGAACCCCTGTCCCCTGCATTGGCAGGCGGGTTCTTAACCACTGGAGCGAGGTCACGAAATCACTTCGCATCTCCTTACCCCATCATTCTTTTTTCCTGGCACCTATTTGTGTCAATACCTCATTCTGTAACAATAATTTCCTCAAATTGCCAAGAAGATACAGGGAGATATAACTATGAAACACACTATGGAAAACACCACTGTTAAAAACATTTCCACTGCTTGCTTCCCATGAGCTAACGGGAAAAAAAATTTTTTAAATAAAAAGCTAAAGCTGCTGTGGCCTGTCCCTAGAGCCTCCTGATGTTTTTCTTTGCTGTCTTGAGATGAGCGTGCTCACAAGAACTCTCCAGTGAGAGAAAACAGGGATGAAGGGCATTGAGAGGAAGAGTGTGCAGTGGTGAGAAGGACAGGACTGTCCTCCCACGACTGGGGCTCCACCTGAAAGATAGTTCCACAAGTGGACGGCAACCAACCCGCCCCACGGCCTTCCATTCAGATTAAGTAACACAGGCTCCCTGAGAAGGGAGGGAAGACCTCACAAACTTGAGAAATTAAGTTACGTAACAGCAAGAGTAATACCTGCCACTTACTGGGCAGCTACTACATGCCAAGCACAATACAAATATTACACAACCTTTTAAAGATGATATGATACAGACCTGCAGTCCACCCAAGGTCTTCATGGCCAGATGTGTAGCACAATTCAGAATCTGGAGTGTTTTAGAAGACAGGCAATGAAATGCACATACAGCCTGTCATTGTGGAATGGCTCCCTGTAACTGATTATCGACACTTCCTCAGCAAAACATTTAGAATAGTTATACTAAGTGGGATCACTTTATCATATATCAGAGCACATTGTACTGCCAAGTGACCTTGAGCCAGACTTATTAAAAACCTCTTTGTTTTCAGACCATTTTGGAGTTGGGAAATTGTGATTGACAGATTGTGATCCACTGTCTCTATTATACGGAGGAAGAACCTGTTGCTGGAGGTTAAGTCACCAAAAGGAATAGAGTCAGGATTAAACTTCATAGACATTAGTCTAAGTAATAGGATTTAGACTTGATAGAAGCCAGAACTGCATGATTACAAAACACCGAGTTTTTCCATTATGTGCTCTCTTAGTGATGTCACACAACTTGCAGGTGGTAGTATGATGCCAGATTTACTGATATGCTCCTAAAAATTCAGGATAAGTCAATTTAGGGAACCCTGAACTCCTACAGCCAAATCCTTCTGTGACTGAAATAATCTCAGCCCTCCATGTCTGCTAAGTGTAATCTTTTTCCCCCAGCTTCTTTGTTACCTAAGAGAGAAACTAAGATAATGTTAAGTGAAGGAAAATGGTTTTTCCTATGTTTCCTCTAACTAGAGGTATACTCAGCTATTTTTAAAAAATGGTTCATGGGGGTTAAAAACGGCTCAGGAAAACTACAACTAACAAAATAATACTGTACTGCATTGCTCATCAAATTTTAGAGCTAGGAGAGGAAACAGTCCAAGTCTCACTTTTTAAAAAATTTAAAAGATTATACTGTGAAAAGTCTTACCCCTACCCCTTACTGTGGCCACCCATTTGCCGCTCTAGAGGTATCCAATGCTACCATTTTTTCCAAGTCTCATTTCATAGAGAAGAAAATGTGACACAGAGAAGTCTCTGGACCCAAATCACAACCCTATAAATTGTGTCCCCTGACTTCAGACACTCAGCTCCCTTGCCCTTCTATGATTTTCCTTTGTAGTACTTCTCTCCACCTGAAATGTTGTATATTTGCTTTTTTTTCCTTCTCTCTCTCTTCTATTAGAATGTACGATTCGCAAAAGCAAGGTCTTCACCTATTTGGTTCACCATTTTATCCCAGCACCTAGAACAATATCAAGCATGCAACCGGCGGCCAGATGTTTGTTAAATGAATATAGGAAGGATAGGAAGGAGGGAGGGAGGGAGGAAATGCACAACAGAATTGGGAAGGGCAGATAGAAGCCAGAAATTGCTGTGTGCCCGTGAAGTGTCTGGTGCACACGTGACAGCACTGGAATGTGATCAGCTCTCTGAGACCAGTCAAAGCCTGTGCTCTTTATTCTGGGTGGCCTCCAGAGTGGAAGCATGAAGGTCTTCAGACAGGCCAGGGATGGCACTGAACTCGCCATCGAGCACTCGAGAGCTTCCAAATTCAACTCCTTTATGCCAGTTTCCTAATGTGTAAAATGGCAGTAACAATAGCACTTATCGCTTTAGCGTTGTCATCAAGATCGACTAAGTATGGTAAGTTACAAAATGGCCATAAAGTTTGTGGCTCTTCCCATCAGGAGGTGGAGTCTATCTTCACCTCTTCGCATCTGGGCCCCCCTTGTGACTTTTTTTGGCCAAGAAGACAGTAGCAACTGTGAGTCAAGCAGAAAGCGGAAGAGTGCGTGCACACTGGGGTTTGCATGATTCTAGTCAAGAGAGGAGAGTTCCCAGGCTAGCCTGCTGGATGAGACACACAGGGCCCAGCCTCCCCTCAATGCTCCAGCCTACAGCCTGCTAATCAGATGGTCCAGCCACATGCCAACCAGCCAGCTGAGCAAACCCAGTAGAAATCACTCAAGTTGGCCCAGACCAGGACTCCCCAGCTCTCCAAGAGAACTGTGAA